GAAAGGATTTATATATCTGGAAAAGATTATGAAAAATGTTCTTAAAACTTCTACAAAGTGGTAGGTCTAGAAAGATCTTTAATAGAAACCTTATACAAAATATTGCTAAAAATGATCACTTCCTAGTCCAAGTATTTATCTAAGTTTCTACATTTTTCTCCATGCTTTTCTATGTTTTCTAAATTTTCTAGGATAAACCCACAAAGTTTCTACAAGAAAAAAAAATTCCCCAAGAATGTTATTAAAAGTAATTTAATTGAACCATAAATCATTACAATAGCTTGCACCTGCCCACGAAACCCAGCAGCCATTTTTTTTTTTCCACTTGCAAAGGTGTTCACCAACTTGGCCCTAGGTAGAACTTCTGTGGTTGCAATGCAGGGACACAGGACCCAGAGGCTAATTTGAGGAGCTAAGTATGTTAGCCCCCCTTTGAATTCTCCCCGACCAGTTGGGTTCAACTCCTGCATCAGAGTCCTGAGATTTCTTTGTCCCTCCTTCTCCACCCTGCCCAGTTCCACCAACCACCTCCCCTAAAGCTCACCCGCCACCTTGGACAGTGAGGGCCCAGAGAGGGCTCTTGACTTTTTAAGGGATATATCGCACTGTCTGATGTTATTCACATATGTGAAATGTGGCACTAAATACCTTTTGAATTTGCCCCGTAAAAGACCAAATTCAGAGCATTCATGAAAACAATTTATAGTTTCATTATACACCCTGACACAAGTACTTTGTCATTACGGACGCTCACACAAAGCCGAGCGGGAGTCGGCTCCCGTACCACTGCAGTCAATGCTTTTTTATGGACAAAAAGCATTACTCATATATAGTGCTTGCTCGGGACTGACTTTGTTAAGTTCAATTTCAAATAAATGAAAGGGGAAAGAAAGAGAGTTTTGTGCATTAGCACGATTTTTTTTTTCTAAAAAAAAAAAAAGTAATTGCTTAGCTTCAAAAACAAAGGGGAGAGAAAAGCCATTCTGCGACGGATTTGAGTTCTAAAAGAGGACACTTCCACCTTGGATGAATTTTATTCCTGGCAGTAATGAGGTTGGAAGCCTGCCTTAAAACGTCCTGGATTTTGAGACTTTGACATCGTCTTCATGGAGGCAGCGCGGTTCTGTTGCCACAGTGATTTCTCCCGAGGAAAATCCCCAATGAGTAAATATCAGAGGAGAGTAGCTTGAAAACCTAAACTGCTGGGTCCTGAGGGAGGTATTGAGATTTCACAGGAAAAAATACCATTTACACACAATTGAACGGTTCTGCCCTTGTTCCTTTCGTTCTTTCCTGCCATCAGCAGTCTTGGTTGTCAGCGCTCTGAGTGTCCAGAACCCAGAGACAGTCACCTTTATCCCTTCAATTTATCAGATTCAAACTTCAGGCCCCAAAGACTCCTTGTGCCTTCTGACTTTGGCGAAAAAAAGAGAAAAATCCCCATGCCTGGAGACACTGGAATTCAGAGAAGCTAAGCTTAGATATAATGTCCGGTCTGCGGAAGGGGACAGGTAAGGGCCTTACTGGCAAAACAGGAATTCAAGTTCCCTGACCTTGAACAGCAGTCTGTTAGGGTTCAAGAGAAAGGCCGTTCATGTCACAAGTCCTGGTCCAAATAAGTTGTGAAAGGCAGGCCTTCTTTGCTTCTGGGCTTGAAGTACTTAGAAGAAAACAGGCACAGAGGCCTCTGCTAAGACCCACTGGCCCACTGGAGAGCAGATGATCTCCAGTTCTCAACAATTTTATTTGATGTTATTTATTCTCATCAACAGAACAAATCTCA